TCATATGGAAAAATTCACCATTCAATACAAGAGAACGAATACAAAGCTGACTTAACACAATATTGAACATAGCATCGTTTGTGGTGCAATTATCTACGGTCAAAGTTAGTAACTTACGATCAATATTCCAATCCAGTAAGCTACACAATAGAGTTTCTGAAAGCACGTCAGCAGTGTGTGGGCACGGCACATATATAAACCTGAGTTCATTCAAGAACAAAAAATGATTTTCGTTTGTGAGAATTTGAGAAAATCATCCACCACTTTCACACCTGTTAATCAAAAATCATCCACCACCTTCACACCACCTGTTAATAATATATGATATCACTATGGTCCACATACTAACATGATTGTAAAGTAACTGAAATCAAGATTACAGAACTGAAAATTATTTTAAAAGGGTAATATTAAATTAGAAGAAAGGCATGTCATTAGAAACATTATAATGTCTAAAGTTTCAAAGTGGGCTCTGTAGTCTGTAGAATGAAATCATAAAAAAGTAACAAAGTAAACTTCTTCGCAAGCAGTTAGCAATTCTTCGGAAACGAAATTGATTTTACCATAACAGAAAAATCAAAACTAAAGCAAGTACAATCAATTCAACATCGAAATCAGGCACACGATATGATTAATAAATTGCACACAATTAAACAAGTACCTTTGCAGAACAGCACCAAAACTCTGAATTACTACTCTCACCGTTACTACTGCCGTACTGCGACCACTAATTAAGGAGGCAAGAACAGGTGAATGAAAAATGATTCATATAATGAGAATTATTTCATTATTAATGACAAACAACGAATTCCACAGTGAGTTTTCTCGTACCTCGTTGTTCTCAGTTCTCCTGTAATTAAAGATAATGCTCAGCCGCTCGGGGAAACAAGGCTGAGCCACTGCAGGAACTGGAATTGTGATGTGCGTGGTTCAGGAATGAGGTGAGGGATTAGGGTAGGGTTAACAGAAAATTAGAAATAGAACTTATTACTTGTATAAGTTGTATTTGGGCCTGAATCTTGCAGTCCCAGTCGGCAGTTCATGGATAGTGGTGGAAGACTGGAAGTTGGAACGTGGAATGGATTATGGATATATTTGGGAAAAATTCATATCTAAGGTATTTTCTTTACCTCAATTCAAAAGTAAGGTAAAATAGTTTGAAAATTCAAAAATTAGGTATGGATTCAATTAATTAAAAATATTTATTAAATAAAGATAATAAAGTCACAATTTGTGATTACTGGTCACATATTCATAATTATAAGTCATAGATTTATTTACTGGTCACATATCGTCAAATTTTTTTATCCCAGATTATTTCGAAGTCACATATCAAAAAATTGTACGTCACAGATTATTTCCAGGTCACAAATTTTAAATTAGTTGGTCACAGATTATTTTTGAGTCATATTATTAAATTTTTAGGTCACAGACTACCGCCGCTTGGTCACAGGTCACAGATCGACCAAATACTTGGTCACAGATTACCAAACATTTGATCACAGACTACCGCCGCTTGGTCACAGGTCACAACAGCCACAAACCACCACACCCACAAAACACACGCAACAACAGATACGCCACCACCATCAATAGATCCACCACCAATTCGCCACCCCACAGATACTCCATGAGGCCTCTCTCTTCTAGAATATTCACCACATTGAGCCTATTCCTTACATCTGCGTCATCTCCTTCAGTTGATTCTTAGACAAATTGAGTCCAGTTGGACCAACATCAC